CAGAAATCGTGAGATGCGGTCTGGTGTATATATATATATATATATATAGAGAGAGAGAGAGAGAGAGAGAGAGAGAAAGAGAGATAGAGAGAGAGTGTGAGTGAGTGAGTGAGTGAGGGAGAGAGAGAGTGAGAGAGAGAGAGTGAGAGAGAAAGAGAGAGGAGAGAGATTGACATAGATAGATAGAGAGTGATAGAGGGAGACTGATTAATATATAGAAATAAAGAGAGTGTGAGAGAAGGAAAGAAAGAATGAAAGAGAGGACAGTCATTTGTCAGTCATTTTAAATCTACTTTTAAAGAAGGCTTTTTTCAATCCCCACCACGCCTCTAAAGCATACATTATGTACCACATCTTTTATGGAATTCCACAGCCTGTGCGCACATTTCGTATCAGATTATTAGATAAACGTTGAACAGTCCTTTTTATTAGCCATTTAAAATTTAGACTCTACGGAAAATTTGGTTTGGGATTTGTGATTTGGATTCGTGTTTCCGTGTGAAATGTTGGTACGTGATGGTCGCGGGTTTTTTACATAAATATTGCAAAACGCCATCCACTTAGCGTAAGAGTAAGTTTATGAATGCATTTATTTGAATGGAAGGGGTTGACGGGGGAGGCGGGCATGCGTATGAATGACCCAAGTGGGCGATCAGATCGTAGGTGGCAAGTTAGGATCGCGGCGCGGACGAGGCAACAAGTGTGCTCGGAGCCGGACTTCGAAGTCTCGTCATGTAACATGGAAGAACTTCCGATATTAAAAATAATGGAAGACAACGAAACGTATACGGACAATTGCACGTACAACTGCACGAACATGACCTCCCTTGAGCTACCGGCAGACTTGCGGTTTAACGACAACGCTCTGTTGGTCGTCATCGCGTATTCGGTCCTGTTCGTCATAGCGGCGATCGGGAACTTGACCGTCTTTATCACCTTGATCAGAGGGCGGCATAGAAAGAGCAGGATATCCCTGATGATAACGCACTTGGCCATAGCCGATTTGTTCGTCACTTTTTTCATGATACCTCTGGAAATCGGCTGGAGGCTCACAACCCAGTGGGTCGCTGGAAACGTCGCTTGCAAATTTTGCCTTTTCTTGCGAGCGTTTGGCCTCTACCTTTCCAGCAACGTTTTAGTCTGTGTCTCCGTGGATAGATACTTTGCCATTCTACATCCTTTGAGAGTCAATGATGCCAGAAGACGCGGGAAGCTAATGCTAGCATTAGCATGGATATTGTCTCTCATCTGTGCATTACCGCAGGTAAGCATGTCTTGGGTATACTTAAAAACTTGCTTACTCAGGACTGTTCTTCTTGACCTTTCTTAAGGGAAAGACTATAGGAAGCCGTTAACAAATAAGAAGAATTAGTTTAGTGGTCGTAATCCACCTGCATAGATTTTCTCTTAGACATGACTTGGAGGTGATTGTTAAAAACAAAATAAAAAATAAGGATTCTAGAAAAAAAGTAAAAAAAAAACCAAAACTGTCATCCAAGTCAAAGAAATTAGGTGCAAAATGAAAAAAAGTATAGCTTAAAATTCTTTCAAAATGTTAGGAGCTCCTAGGTAGAAGACTACTGGGTTAAATAAAATACGATAAAAAATGGAATGAAAATCTGTCGGAAAATTACGACTAAATAACAAATGACAATATGGCAGCCAAAGTTTAGCAATCAAATAAAATGTCTACAGAATAGTGTATATTATGCACAGATAAATAATATTATTTTGAACAACTGTGTCCTAATCTTTTATGACAGTAAATATGCAAATTATTTTATAATTCGATTTTTTTTTCATATCATAGAAAAGCGATTTTAAAAGTGCCCATCACCACTATGTATAAATAGTATAGAATAAATATTCAGTAATTATTTAAACATTATAACTTTTTATTACTACGTACGTTACGTAATACTTTTTCCAGAAAAAATGACACATTGGCAATCTGAATAAAAAAATCGACTCGTTTTTCTATCACCTAAGTGTGCTACATCAGCCCTTGAAATTATACTTTTTTGAATAAGTGTGCATCCTTATATTAATATTTTATAACGCCAAAAGTCTGCCACTTTTTTGTTAACTTCATTTTAATTTACAATCATATTTGTTTTTCTTTAATCAAGGGCATATTATAATTATTCCAACAAATTGTCCATTGGTCCACCAATTAAAAATTTACGTCAGATTGTGTTAGTTAATACAGAAACCAAATTTAAAAAATATTTTCAACTTAATAATTTTTATATTTTCTATGGCTTACATTAAAAATGCAGACTATTTCATATAACTTTTTCTCCAAAATCTCTATTCATTCAGATTAACACTGTAATTAATTTTACAAGTAAAACGACATGTTAAAGTTTGGTTGATTGACAAATAAAAATAAAAAATCAGTCTTTATTAAACAATTTTATTACTACAGGCAACCTGTTTCCCAAAGGAGACGTTATACAGGTGTACATAAACGTTTCTAGCTTCAAATAAAAAAAAGTGCATCATAGAAAATAAATAACTAAGTTCGCTAATTTAGCCATCGAAATTAAACTTTTTGAGCAGTTCTGTACGCGGCTATTTAATATCGAAGTTTTTATTAACTCGCCATGAAGTGAAAACTTTCATCTCCGGTTTAATTAAGCTTCGTCAAATCGGGTTCTCCTGTTTTGAATATGTCCAAGCCTTATAACAAAATTAAAAGAAAAAAACAGAAATAAAATAATTAATTACTGTTTGTCAGCGAGGGAGCCAACAATGAAATTCAACCGTTATGCTAATTTTCCCAAGGGCCAAACAGGCCTGTCCTTCCAGCGACAATTTCAAGTTTTAACAATTTTATCTGCCTAGTATTGAATTTTTGATATCCAGACTACTGGATTGTTCTTTCTTACAATTAGACTAATTGATATATGAATGTTTGTAATGACAATCTCAATATTTGAATTGTGTAATTTTATATCAATCAAATAATGGCTTTAGGTAATAATATACACTTTAACTTTTGATTTTCATGGAGTACCTAGCTTTTTTTTAGAAATTGAATTTTCATTTATATTTAGTTTAGCATTTATTCGTGTTATATATTACAATTCACGCTATTGTTTTATAAAGAGAAAGACATGTGATGTAATTTTTTTATATAAGCTTAAGAAAACTGAGTAATTTTATTCACTTTTCTTTTTACAAAAATAAAAAAAATTAAAAACTCTTAATTTCGGACTATCGTTTAATTCTTTCGGCCAGAACAAACCCATCTCAAAGTTTACCATCCTTATCGTAATTTCCGGTCGTAAGAAGATCTGATGTATTTTGCGCTAGAGGGAAAGTGGATTAAGTTTAACTTAGAAATATTAAAAGCCTGAACTGGTCTTAAATGGTTCAGAACCAGATCGTCGCTAGTATATAATAAAATGCGGCATTTCGGCCATTTTTGTTCAAATAAATATCTCAGCCTATTATACTGACAAAACACGTTACTATTTCATTAATAGCTATTAAAATCTAAATACATAGCTTCTTGTTTCTTCTTAGAAATGTTCAGGAAAGTCCTTTTGATTGCTTTCTATACCTGTTTCAATTCTTAACTGAGCTATGGAAACAATTGTATTTTTATCAGGAAATAAAAAATAAAAATGGCAAAATTAATATATGCCTAAATATACATGTTTTTACTTTCCGTTGCTATGAACCTATTTATTGAAAACAGTTTACTTTTACTAATGGGTTGCGTCAAATGTTTCGATTTTTTTACAACATCAAACTCATACGTACAGACGCAGTACATGCATTTGATCAATTAAGTATGTTTAATATGTACAAAATTTAACAACACAAACCGATTTGCCTGGTGAAAATTTATAGGGAATTAGAATTCCATCTTAATTTCCTTACGCCTGACATGAGTTTTGAAGTATAATGTTTTTCAAATTTAGTAGATTCACGAGGACAAAATGAACCCCAAATTTAAATAGGCTTTTTAAACTCAGTGTTCAATTTCAAACTCAGTATAATTTCCATTATCTCTGTAACCTCACTGACGAGGACTTGGAAAAGAAATAAATTAAGCAGTACGTGTTGTACGATATTTTGAAAAACAATCTCGTTCACTGGTTTTATTGTGAATCTTTCAAATACGTTTTACTTTTTAAAACTCTTTCTTCCTTTTAACAATAACGGTATGGATGGATAATTTAAAATATTAAAAAAAATTTAATTTAATTTATATTCACGTACATTCTAAACTTCAGATCGATCGGTTATATCAATATGAACTTTATATTACTTTCATAATTCTTTTAATAATTTTTTATTCAATAATAATGTTTATAATTAATCAATCTAATAAACTTTTTACTTAATTAATACCTGTAGGTCGATCTATTTAATTAATTATAACTAGTTAATTATTTATATTCAGTGCTTATTTAGGTTATTTATAGTGTCTCACACAATAAACACACACACACACACACACACACACACACACACACACACATAAAACAAGCTTGTACCTTACTATATAAATATAGCGAGTATTCAATTCCACCTTGTCCGAGCTCCCATTTTGCACGGCGGAAGCCAAACCATCACCGGACCTAGACCGTCCATAAAGACGAGGAGAAAACCGGCTAACCCGGATCTGGGTTCCAGGAACGCAGGTCCGCAATTCGGCAGACCTACGACCTGTATGCGGCCCAGCTATTGTCGCAAGGTCTTCCCCGACAAGCACGGACAGCTCGAGTACCGATCCGAGTGTAAACCGCGAATACCCAGGGGTCGCGTTCAAGTTCGAAGTCTCTCGTATTCCTGATTATGCTTGTTTTTGAGGATCATACTCGTCAAGGGGTTGCACTCCTTGGCCGTGAAACCCCTCGTAAATGAGAGTAAACAGTTCTCTCCGGGAGTTGGCGACAGCCCTCCCAGCTCGCAGCAGAGGCTGGCTCTAAACGTGCCGATACAATTTGAAGGCCCTGAAAGCAAAGCCTGTCAAGTCATCAGAGATGCGTTTTCCGGGCAGAGGAGAATAGGCCATTCAACCGTACAACAGCCATGAGCTGAGTAACACTACAATATTTTCAACAGGATCTCCCTGACCTCTCCCCACCTGAAGTGACCAATATAATTAATAAATCTCAGGGTTTTCCTGCAACGAACTTCGACAGCTTCGATACACGACTGCCACCTTAATTTTCGTAGAGTATAAGGCCGAGAAACCACACCCTATTTGATTTTTCAAATCAACGAAAACCTTAATTAATTGAAAGATATTAATTGGTCAAGCGGACCACGAATACTAGTGAATTTAGAAGGTTAAAATGAAGTATATCTTCACTAAAGCTCTCCGTGGCCATTTCATTTGTCGCCGAGAATCAAATAGATTACACGATATTTGAAAAATGGCAAAAAGGGGGGAAAATTCAAAAGTTGGGGTTGAGTTAGGAAGTTGGTGTCCGAATGGATCGAAGCCACGATAGCTCAAGTAGTAGAGCAGCGGCGTATCTAGCCGAGGGTCGTGGGTTCGAATCCCTCTCGTGACATTGAATTTTTTTATCTCAACTAAAACCTTAATTAATTGGTCAAGCGGACCACGAATACTAGTGAATATATAAACAATGCATTTATTATAAATATTTTGAAATGTTCAGTATTTCTCATTGTTAAACGTATTTTAGTAACATTGGAGTAATAGCAATGGGTCTTTTCTCCACTTTTGGTTTTAATTTTGTATATATTACCTTGCTCATTGTTACTTGTGGCCTACTTGAAGGTAATTGTAATGTACTTCAAATTATATATTAAAAAAAAAGTATTATTAATTGATGAAGTTGTGCCTAATAAACAGCCGTGCTTCAGTGCTTTTTGTTATTCCTTTTGTGTGAAATAAACGAGCAATAAATTTAACAAAAAAGAAAGTTTTTGGAAATCACATATACACGAGAAAAAAATTACTAGTAAGCATTGAATGTGTAGTTTGTACTAAATTACCGAGAAAGCAAGTGTTTTGGTTGTTTGATTTGACTGCTCCCATTACATCAGTATAACGGCGTAACCACATCGTAAATGTAATCTTTTCTGACTACACGCTAAAACTAATTCGCATACTCGTTCCGGATTAGGGCATTCACTTTAGCACATGTACCAGGAAAGAGTGTAAGGTACTTTGATACACCTCATTAAACGTAAACTACTTCTCTAAACTATATTCAGGGTCGGTGTAATAAAATTACGCGAGCCAATAAACATTGACATCATTTTGGGATAACGTTGTTGGGGATAAGTTTCAATACAGTGTAGTTCAACAGTTCAAAACGGCCAAATAATGACATTAGTTAAATATTGTACATACCAACTCAACCTTAAAACACTGATTATATTGTAAACAGCATAAAATAAGATTAGTTTTTTTCTTTAAAACGTTTATTGCAAATAGTATATTTTATTC